TGGGCCGTCAGCAGAGCTCCCCCTGCAGGCAGCAGGCAGGAATGCCCAGAGAAGGTAGAATGGGCCGTCAGCAGAGCTCCCCCTGCAGGCGGCAGGCAGCCAGGCCAGCCCGCTTGTGACAGCACCCGAGGCCCTGCTTACCTTGACCCGGAATTCCCTCAATAAAATACAGGACAAAATAGTAAACAAACGAACACAGGCACACACATGTGCACACCCACTCTGCACACACAATTAAATGCTGCTGTTAGATCTTCTGCCAGATGTGACTGGCACAAGGCTGGGAGGCTCTGACTCAGCAGAAGACAAAGTCAACAGTTAAAAGGACATCCTAGGCATTTTCCAAATGCAGTATCCTAACTGGGGCATGTAGCACTTGCCTGTAATTCCAGAACTCTAGGAAGGAAGGCTGTGAGATGTAGGTCTTCCTTCTACTAGGGTACACAGTAACATGTTTCCTTAATAATAATAATAATAATAATAATAATAATAATAATAATTTATTATTATTATTATTATTATTATTATTATTATTATATTTTTAAAATGAAGAACCTGTATATTCTAGAAAGGCCAGCAAGACACTCACACAATTTATAGTAATTGATCATGAGGAAATGTTTAATCTTGGGATCTTAAAATAATGCACAGGGTTGAGTTGCATTTGACCACACATATTCTGAGCACAGACCTGCTATTTCTTTTATCCAAATTAACTTGGGGTTCCTTGATGCTGTAGAGTTCAAGGTACAGGTGTAACAGCAGGATGAAGATGCTGTTTAAGGTGACCGCGCTATGTTCAATCATCACACTCTTTTTTTTTTTTTCTTATAAAGGAAAACATTTAATTGAAGAGGCAGCTTACAGTTTCAGAGGTTTAGTCCATTATCATGGTGGGGAGCATCATGGCATGCAGGCAGACATGGTGATGGATCCCACAGGCAACAGGAAGTAGTCTATCTCACTGGGCGTGGCTTGAGCATATATGAAACCTTAAAGCCCACCTCCACAGTGACACACTTCCTTCAACAAGACCACACCTACTCCAACAAAACCACACCTCCTAATAGTGCCACTCCCTTTGGGGGCCATTTTCTTTCAAACCACCACAGTACCTTATTTATCAAACAAATCTTATTTATCAAATATACCTTATTTATCAAACATATGTTGTTACTTATCTAAATTTCTAGTAGCTTGGTCTTAAACATTTAGCAGAGGCAAAAGTAGTTAGATATATATCTTAAATCATATATATCTATATGATATATCTTAAATAAGCTTTTGTTAATCCAAATAGACCTTTATAACCTTAAAAGCTTATCATCATATAAAAATCCATATTAATCCAAAATATTTGAGACTTGTTGCTTCCTTGGTCTAAAAGGAGATACAATGATGAACTAAGGGCTCAGGCAATCCTCACACTCTTGTTGACATTTTTTTAAACAGGGTCTCACTAAGTAGCCCTGGTTGACCTTGAACTCACAGAGCAGCTCATACCTCTGCCTCCCAAAATCCTGGGATTAAAGGCATGGGCCTTGATTGCTTCCAGTTACTAATTGGCCAGACTTCAGCCTTGCTAGTTGCTCGACCTACAGCAGCTAGGACATACAGCATCCCAATCTACTTGCAAAGGCCCAACAGAGGAAATATGTAGGAAAGCATCAAGAGGAATCCCTGAGGCTCACTTCGAGCCCGGTTGAATGGTTGCCCCAAATCCCAGTGCTCAGGAGCGCTCTGCTCCAAATTCATGAACGGGATATGAAGAAAAGCATTCAAGGGGCAGACTGCTGAGTCTCATTAAACAATGGTTCCCAATCCCGGTGTTCAGGAGCTGCTGCAGCCTGTGGAACCTCGATTTTAGCCTTGGTGCCATCTCTACACCGAGAGCAGATTGCTGGGGCTGGGGAACAGGGGAACAGAAGGTTCTCCTGTCACAGTGAAGGCCTTAGAAAAGACAGGTGAGCACGCGACAGCGGGAAAGGTTAACTTATGTGTGCAAGTTCATCTTACTAGGAGTCTTTTGCTTCGCAGGCCCTGGAGAAGGGCGCCCCGGGAGCACAGGCCGGTTCAGGACCATGCAGCTCCAGGAGCACAGAGAGGGGGCGCTCTCGGCGTCCCCGCCATCCCCCGCCGCCGTCCCCGCCGCCCTGCGCGTCCCCGCCGCCGCGCTCCCGCTTCCCCGCGACCCCTGAGCTCCTGCGAGCCCGCTTGCCTCTCCCTTGCCTCTGTCGCCGCCACTGCGGGGCCATGGCGACCTGCTCTCTGCTGCGGAGTTTCTGGGCCGCGCGCCTGGCGCTGCCGCCTCCCGGCCGCTGCCTCTGCCCGGCGTCCGCAGGAGCCCAGCGTCGCAGCTACGCCCGCGGCCCCGCTGGCCTCCCCGCCGACCTTCTCCGCGGGGACAGCTTCGTGGGAGGCCGCTGGCTCCCGGCCCCCGCCACCTTCCCCGTGCAGGACCCGGCCAGCGGCGCCACGCTGGGCACCGTGGCCGACTGCGGGGTGCCCGAGGCCCGCGCCGCCGTGCGCGCCGCCTACGATGCCTTCTGCAGCTGGAAAGGGGTCTCGGTCAAGGTGAGAGCGCCGTCGGACGTTGGCTCCCGGCCTAGTGGGAGGCCGATCCCCCAAGTGAAACCAGCCCGTGACACCCACCCACCCACCCTAGTTCGCCGGGGGTGCACAGTGCAGAAAGCCAGAGCAACAACAAAAAGATACAAATAAGTTTGGAGCTTGGGGTCGGTGCCCACCACGATGTCAGATCCCCTGTTTTCAAATCTCAAGGAAGAGAGACCGACAGGGGTGCATAATAAAAGTGAGCTGAATAATGTTAGC